AGGAAGTGACTGAACAGAATCAGACATTCTCATTAAGTAAAATTAGCCAAGTGCAATTTGCCTGGCTGGTTCCCTCTATGTATTAGCATTTATATTCAGTCAGTGATGAGCTTAATCAGGTTTTTCAAACAAAAAGGAAAAATCTCCTCAAAACCCATAAACCTATCAGGTTTATTAGTACCAGTTTGCACTTCCATTGTAAAAAGGCAGTTAAGAAGCTGAAGAAAATTGCCTGTTCAGAAGTGTATCTGAGTAGCTACCAGCAATCTTTCCTCATAGCAGGAACATGACCTCACATACGTGCTGGCTGATTGCTGTCAGATTTACTGGAGAAAAAAGGAGACATTTCATTAAAAGGCAAATGCAAGAAAGCTACAAAGAGCTGCCACAGGCCCTCACTGGAAAGGACAGGTTTGCCCTCTGATTGCAAAGATTTTATCACAAGGTCTTTTCCCTCCTTCCTCAATGAATCCATCTCTAAGGGCTGTCAGGCCCAAAAAACAGAAAAAGAAATGTGGTGGCATCTAAGGAGATAAGCATCAGCAACACTGCTGATGTGACAAACAGAGAGCAGAAACAACCCCAGAGAGCCTGGTCCTGCTGGGGGCACTTACCTGCAACAGCAGAACTGAAGGTGAGGGACTGCACGAGCACCCAGACGTGGCAGGAAGGTGGCTGCTGGAGCTGACCGTGTGTGCTGATACCTCCACCAAATGTAACTCCACACCCCTTCTGAACATCAGAAAGGAAGCAAAAAACTTCAGAGATTTTAAGACAAGCTATGGAAAATAGCACTGGTCAAAAAAAAGGGTTCCACAGGAATGGCTTGTTTTATAAAAGGCAACTTGGCAATGCCCCTGTCAGACATCTGGGCACAAAGTATGTCCTAACACACACTGAGAGCTTTGAAATTTGTTATAAATTATGTCTCAGTGCATCCTGGTTTGCAAAGCATTACAGCAACAAAAGCTGGCCAAAGGCATAGCATTGCTTCAGCCCTTCGCACATGCACTGCACACCTAAGAGGTTATCAGGAAAAAACAGCTTAATGACAATCACCCCAGAATTATAGTTTATAACTCTGGTTATTCTCTTAAGGCACACAACTGTTTTATCTGAGCAGCATGAAATGAGGCTTTGACCCTCTGTTGTTTGTTCTATTTTCCTTGGGTCCATGGCTAACTGCTCTCTTTACAGCATGTTTCTATAGTGACCAGCTGCTGAACTGATACTCAATATATTTCACTTTTCACCTGCCATACTTCAGACTTGGAAACTCAGAATGTTATTTAAACAATATTCCAAAAATGTACCCTCGGGCTGTAGTAAGAGATGGCACAGTGGATACTTCATCACTTTAACTTCCCCAGCTCTTGAAAGAACAAATAAATGCAGCATTTATAGGTGAAAGAAAATTTATCACATCTCAGTAGCAATTACTCAAGAAGCCAATATAAAAGGGATCAGGAAGAAACAAATTCCCAATATCACAGAGAAGTACCAGACTCCTCCTTTCAGGCAAGCATTTCATTTCTTCAGCAGCTTTTTTAATGTGCCTCAGTTGTATTAAGAGCACTTTGCCTCAAGTGCAGCCCCTTCCTAGAGAGTAACAAGCAGGACAGCTTTTACAGGAGGATAAAGTATTGTGTCCCCCAAAGGAGACAGGGGAGCCCATTTTTAAATCCATCAACATGGCAATGAATCATCCTCCAAAGACAAAGACTAAAACATTAAGAGGGGAATACAGTAGGTAGAAGTAATGCAGAAACAATTTTAAAAACTCAGCTGGTTCAACTTTTACACATGCAAATAAACATTATGAGAGGGGAAACAAGAATGAGATGTGAAGTACTGAGCAGGAAGATCAGGTGTATTTATCTTCCTGGAAGCTGGAAGATATTAAACTGTGCTTTCTGCTAAATTGCTGCTGCCAGTTATTGACAAAGTTGTCAATTATCCAGGATTATTTAGACTGATGATAGCTGAAGAAATGAAGATTGAGAAACACTTGGGACTAAAAGGGAAGTTAGGAATGCACTGCAGATGATAAATGGAGTGGATTGAAAGAAAAAGAGCAAAGAGACAGTTTCAGAGCGTATAGTTAAATATCCTTAATTAGCATATTACACTACTACAATGAAACCAAATTTCAAAGCTGGATTTTAGAAAATACATATAACTGAGTGGATGAAAGACTAAGACCCTTCTATGCCTTAAGACTGGCATAGAATTTATTCAGATAACTTATATTTTGCTAATGTTTAAATAACTTAATTATACTTTAAAATTGCACTGACTGTGCAGGTCTGCAAGCAGTCAGATATTAAATCACCATTAGATGGATTTTACTGAAATTGTTCAGACCGTGCATTAGGGAAAGAGGACAGTGCTTGATTTCAATAGTTCAGTAATCATGTAGCTTAATGCACATGAATAAAACAGGTACCAACAGGTAAAATTTATGCAGCAACTGGCACAATGTTTTTAAATTGGTCCAGGAATAAGAATTTACTTTGAGCAGGGATTTGTAAAGTGTCTTGAAATTCTTGGAAGAACTTCTAACAAAATCACAAAGCTCTGCTCTATGAAAACATATTCTGCTGGAATAAGGGATACTTGCTACCACATTTTTTTTCAATAGAATGGAAGATATTTCACTGTGTTCATGAAGAGACAGTTGACAGGTTAGGATTTCAATGCAAGGCTTGCAGGAGCTAGGCCTAAATCACAGTTTTGGCATTGTTTGGTCACGCAAGTTTCTTAGCTCTTCTCTATCTCTCTTGATATACAGTGTGTCACAGTTGAGATGGCCACAATACCCAGAGTATTATCATACTATTCCAGAAATCTTCAACCCATACACAGTAACACCTTACCACTCTGAAGGCTTCAAGCATCTGCCTATAGAGAGTAACACCCTGTGACTTTAGAAGGCTGCATGCATCTTTAGCCCAACCTTTAGTACCCTCATGGTTCACGCAGTGCCCCTGTGTGCCCTCTGTTCCCTTTGGGGCTGGTCAGTGCCCCTGGGCACTCCATGGCTCACTGCTGTCAGTGCTGCTCACCTGCTGCTCACAGCTCTGCCCATGGGGATGAGGCTCGGCCAGCCCCACTCCCAGTGACCCCAAACTGTGTGTGCCACAACACAGCCCCACTCCCAGTGACCCCAAACTGTGTGTGCCACAACACAGCCCACTCCCAGTGACCCCAAACTGTGTGTGCCACAACACAGCCCACTCCCAGTGACCCCAAACTGTGTGTGCCACAACACAGCCCCACTCCCAGTGACCCCAAACTGTGTGTGCCACAACACAGCCCCACTCCCAGTGACCCCAAACTGTGTGTGCCTACAGCAATGGACCAGCAGTTCCACCTTCCCAGGCATTTTACCAGGTTCCATAAATCCACAACCAAGGTATTAAGGATACAATTGATATAGGGATACACAGCACAAAAAACATTGACATAAGAGGCTGACAGATATGATTCTATGATTCTATATGGCAACATCCCAGTGTTACTTATGCAAACATTCCAAAATAATTTTGGTTACTCATACTACATAAATTGCATATTCCTAGCAGGTAAAGGCTTTATTTGCCACACTATCAGGAATTCAAGTTACTTTTGTTGATCAGGAAGAGCAGATGCAGAATGGCAGCTGAAGGTGTTTAGGAAAGGTGAAGAAGCCACAGCAGAAGTCAGCAAAGCCTAGGCAGAACATGCTGACAAGACAGAGAGGGCACTAAGAAACTAAATTTGCTATTTTAGATAATCATCATTGAAGATCAATGTACTTCAGAGACTGTATCCGTCCACACAGCTCCTCCCTCAGTCTGTGTCTGAAGTCACAGGGAAGTGTAATGAATTACTTCATTTCAACAGAGTATATAAGCTTTAAAAACAATTTTATAATGTCTGTTACAGCATCTAATTCCAAATGTAATTTATAAATACAGAATTCCTCAGTCTTTTTATTGCTGCTTTCTACTTATCATAAGAAGTTTAGGAAATAAAAGGAAAAATCCCCAACAACAAATCACTAACACTTGGTTTGCCTTGCCTTAATTTTTCTGCAAGACATGGCACCCCTCTGCTGGGCAAGAGCAGATCTAGCAGCAGGGAGTGGTGAACCAAAACTGATGGAACAGTAAAATAAAATCAGCCTGTGCAGACTGAAAAGACAAGTAAGGAAAGAGGACTGAGGCAATGTATGGCTGCCCAAACGCCTGAGAAAATCAGGGGCTCAGGTGTGAACCATTAAACAAACAGAATTCAGAATTTAGACTTATTTCTCCAGAAAGTAACATTTTTCATAACATCTTCAAAATTAGTCACCTTGAAGGAACTGCCATCTTGACAAACACCCGTTCTTTAACTCCAAAAGCAACCACTGCAATATTTAGAAAACAGGACACTGAAAGAGTCCCTAACGTGAAAGACTTTTGCCCATGAAAAAGCTGAATTATGAGCTATGAAGCCTGTACTGCATCAATCTGGCAATGCATCTGCATTCATAACATTGTTTTCTAGGACAATGTATGACAAACCTCAATCAAACCTTCAGAATAGTTTCTCATTTTTCCTTTAGCCATTACTTTCATTTTAACATGACAACCATAGGACAAATACAGGACAATTTCAGACATCAGCAGTGATGCAGAGGAAAAAACAAAGTCCTACCCTAACCATGTGTGGTATCACATCTTTGAGAAATGTCAGTTAAATCTTCCTCTGACCTCTGAAGCATGATAGAGAAGTTCAGCCTTTTTCTCATGAGCCTTGAAACTGGAGTAGTTACCCATTTTGTTTCAGACTTCTTGTTTTGTTGTGCTCTACGAATGACTCAGCTCTGTTCTCTAGGGGTTGCACTACTACTCATTTTTAGACCACGGAAATATTGTAAAAAAAGGCTGTTTCAAAGTAGCATTCTATGAAGACGTTTCTAGGAAACAACTCTTTTCTTTGTTAAAATATAAACACAAACAAAAGCCTGATAATACTTTTTGCCCCTTTTATTAAAAACAGTCATTACAGGTGACATACAATGGGCAAAGATATATATGACCAAATCTCTACTTTTAAGGAAACTATTTACAGACTATTACAAAGTGACTGCACATGTGCAATGATGGGTTCTGCATTGGTTTTTCATACTGAAAACTTCTGGTTTTCTTTCAGTTGTTCAGGTGATTCTACTTTCAGTTTGTCTGTGTGATCAACAACAGCACACTGGCTTCAAAAGACATTTATTTTAGATATCTGTAAGTGTCCAGAGTGAAAAGCTGCACACAGGACCTGCTGTGAGATATCAGAGAGAACAGTCTCTTTTATGTCTCTGCCATCCATATTTGTCCTTTTGTACCACTTCCCACATGGAATGCTGTCACTCCAAGCTCCTCACTTTGTTAACCAACGTTTGCTCCACTAAAAAAAAAATAAATTTCCTAAACCATTTGTTTAGGGACCAGGGAAGAGGACAAATCTTATCACAGGAAACCATCCAGAGCAGAAGGAAGTCTGTAGTGACAGAAGCAGATAGAGAGTTTCAGTTTTATAACCAAACCTACAGAAAAACTTCAACTGCACAGCACCTATATTAACAAGGGGAGGGGAAATAAGTATCTTCCTGTAGTCATTACCCACACTCTCAACAGCACTGCATTAAGAAAGAGTATCAGTCCACATACCAAGATGCTTCTTCCCATTTCCTGCTCTTGTTTTAGGTCAACTGGAAGCTTCTTTTTTCAGTTTTTCTAAAATCTCATCTGGTGTTGCTGATACTGAAATCTTCACCACTTTGTCACGTGATTTACCCCCCTGGTTTAGACAAACACAGAACAAACCTATCTTTCAGAGAATCACCTTTCAAGGTAAGAAAACAATGCTATTTATAAAATGCTGAGAAACAAATTAAGCAGTGTGCCCATGATTCAGGAAAAACAAGACTTACATAGACTTGACTCTACCTTTTCAGAAGACATTTCCTTGGTCATCTTATCTTTTACCACTACTCTTTAAAAGACTTCTATAACTACTCCATTAAACTATAAAAATAAAAAGCACCATTTTTCATTGTGCTTATAAACTATAAATGGAAATGGCTGGAAAGACTGACTTGAAGTTGAATGAATTAATAAAACAAATTACTTATTCAGTGCAATGAATAAAACAATAAGTTTCTGCTCACCAAAGGCAAGACATGTAAATTCTAATACAGAGAAACTCTTGAGGCCCATCTACAACCCAAGGGCTTACATACACTCTTGCTTACGTGTGTAGATAAATGTGTGACAGGTAAATGTCAGAATCAAATACAGAAGTTATTAAAAAAAAGTGTAAAGTTATTAATAAAATTAATATTCTCTGCAGAACATAAATTCTGTGAACTCATTTGACATGACAAGAGAATCTTGAAGAGCACGTGAACTACAGAGATTTGCAAAATATTATCATGATAACTCTTCTGGTTAAAAGGTCTCAAGATCAGCCACAGTTCTTCCTACACTAAGTTTGTTCTCAATGAATCATTCTATTAACTCACCTAAACTTTTTAAAGTGTCTTTCAGACTGAACTTGGAGTATCTCCCTGTACTCAATGTGTAAGTTTCAAAATCTTGAATTTCGACTGCAGTAGGACAAAACTGAAAGGAAAAAAAAGGAAGTACCTTCTCTAAAATAACGTCGCTCTTCTTCACTTCAAGCACCTTAGACAGGTAACGGCACAGCTCTGCATTTGCCTCCCCTTCTGATGGAGGTGCAGCAATAGCTACACCTACTGCCTCAGCCGTCACATCTATAGCAAATAGTTGGAGGATTTTATGCTTAAAATATTCAAAACATCACACCACAGTTTGCTAAAAATGAATGTTTATGCTTTCAAAAACATTTAAGTTTAAAACCAAGTAAACGTATAGATTAGCAGGTGACGGCATTTTCACATTTCATCAATTCCCTTGATTGTCGGCCAGTACAACCAAATATAAACTGAGGATACAAGCAGTGAAGCCCTCATGCTGTAGCAGGGTGCAGTCATGAGTTACCAGCCTTCTCACAATGGGGGCACCGCTCTGAGCTCCCCTCACCTGCAGGTGTTGTCCTGCTTGGCATCACGTAACACGATCCAAATCAGGCTACCCCTGCCCCAAAAGCCGCTTGTTAAATCAGTCTGCTCAGAGTTACGCTGTCAGTAAATTCCCAGTAAATTCCAAAGGGGCCTGGACACTGCCACAGCCCCTGGGTGTCGCGCACACGGGGGATGTGAAAGCAATCCCAATGCATGCAGGCGCAAGCCAAGGGCTGTAGAGGGAGAACACATTGTATTAGATCCAACTTTTATGGCTCTAATAAAACCGCACAGACCCTTGAAACACCGCCTGCACGAAACCACTGAGGCCAACCGGAAGGATTTAGGACCAGGATTTACCCCGTGCTCACCGCGCCACCCAGCGCTGTGCAGGGGGACGCGACACTCCGGAGAGCCGAACTGCTCGCTTCAGTTCCCGGGGAGATTTCCGCGTTCCCCCCTCCGCCCCGCCGCCCGCCGCCGCCACCGGCCCCGCGGCGGCGCCCGGCTCTGCGGGGCCCTTGGCGGCCGCTTTTCCCTGCAACAGAGGAACAGACGCGGTCACCGCGGGCACCACCGCTCCTGCCCCCCTTCCCTCTCCTGGCCCTGCCCGCACCTTCCCGGGCATGGCCCCGCCGCTCCGCACCGGCGCCGCCCGCACCCGCAGGAACCCAGCGGGGCTCGGCATGGCCGGGGCGGCTCTTCCGGCAACCGCGCCGGGCCCGCCCCGAGCGCCTGCGCGCTCCGCACGGCACGGCCGGGCCGGCGCTGTGCCCGCCGCGGCTGGCCCGGCACGGCCGAGCCCCGTGCCCGCAGCGGCTGTCCCGGCACGGCCGAGCCCCGTGCCCGCAGTGGTTTGGTTCCTCCGGCACAGCCGAGCCCCGTGCCCGCAGCGGCTGCCCCGGCACGGCCGAGCCCCGCGCCCGCAGCGGTTCCCCCGGCACGGCCGGACCCGGCCCCCATCCCTGTCCCGGAACAGCGCCGCGCCCAGGGACAGGAGAGCGCTGGCGGAGTGCGCACAGAGCTGGACCTTTGAGAGACGCTTGTTCTACATGCAGCCTTTGGGCACCCCAAACCTGCGTGACCTCCCCCTTAAGAAAGGAAATTTTCTTATTTTTTCTCCTGCATTCTCAAATTTTAGTACAACGTAGGGGAGGGTACAGGTCTTTGTACACCAAGCCATTCTGTTACTACGTGGTACATACTGCAAAGCACTGAATACTATATACATACAGCAATAGCATCAAGTTATTGTATGCAATCTGTAAAACTTGTTGCACACCAACAATCCTTAGGTTTATACTATTTTTTTTTTAGTACTAGAATATCCAATGATAAAATAGCATAATTACAAGTCTCATATTCTCATTTTCACATTATACATTTTTTATAGGCACATATGTATATATACAGTGGCTATTTGCATAACCAGTTCTATATTCCAAAACAGCCCTTCTAAATTAAGAGAGATTCTGGAAAGATCTGTTTCTTGCTGAGTTTGACTTAATATTTATTTCTTCAGTGCAGCTGCAGATGTTCTCTGCAGTGCAAAGTCCATTAATTCTCCATGGCTCTTGGAAAAAGTCAAGATGATGGCAATATGAATGCAGCATTGCTGACGTACTTCAAAAAAATACAGTAGCAATCCATGTCCACAGGGTCAATCCAAGGTCATTTTGGAAAGAAGTGCAAGATGGGACTACAGCAGCAGCTTTACTGTCTTTTAAGGACAGATTGGAGAAAATATACACAAGTTGTTCATAACAAGTAAGGATTTTCCAGTTCAAAAAATAAATTTTACTACATGAGAAACAAAGGGATGAAAACACAAAGTAATTAACCACAAGGTACTACTTAAAACAAACTTTTCAATGCACAAAGTACTTATTCCATTAACATTTCGTTTAGAGGAAAAGCTAAATTACAATCTACCAATAACAATGCAGAAAATAATAGCTTTTCTGGTACCCCTAAAACAAATTTGTTTTGTTTTTACACATTAAAGTAACTTAATAGAATTTTTTTAACTGCTGCCAATGGTGAGCTGAAGTCCACTGAGACACCAACACATTCCAGATCATCATGTGAAACTAAGTATAAAATATTATTTCTGGTATCTGTCCATCTTCTATTGATGTACCATTGTTGTTACCTGGTGAACTATAAAAGACAAAGCATGTTTTGCTAGCAGTAGGAGATTCGTGGATCACCTTCTTCAAACCTTTTGTTCCATAGTGGGAATCAGGACCCTGAAAAACATCACAAGAGATTAGCAACACAATGGAAGTGCACAAGACCCAAAAATTGCTGATGGTCAAACACAACTGACTTGGGCTATTTTAGTAGTATAAAATTTCTGTACCCACATCATATAAATTATATACAAAATCACAGGCAACAGAAGCCAGGGCCCTATGTCTAAGTAACAAAAATATATTTCTCAGACAGCAGACTTAAACCAGTTGGTTTTATCCAACTAGTAATGAATACTTTCTAGTATTTCTCCTTATCACACAGGTTGCCTGTATTTTTACTTAGTTCCCTGCCTCAACTGTTTTTAATGTACAGTATTTTTTCCAACCCACTGAACTCTGATTTCTGTATAGGAAATTATACTTAGTAGAATATTAAAATTCTTCTGAGAAATAAATTTGTCCACAACACTAAGAGAAGACTTTTTGAGAAAAAGTAATTATTGCCTACTATTTCAGCAGCAGTAAATAAAAAGAGGTGAAAAAATAAGCAGTTTTCTTGAATTGGTCAAAATATCCCTGATAAAAGAAATCAAACTTAAGTTTTGAAAGAGAGCTGCCAGATTACATTTTCTATATAGGGCTTTTTTTTCCCACACAAAACCAGTGACTTCCATTAGAACTATTCTAACTCCTACATCAAGCAAAAAAGTGGGAAGGCACAAAGGATCCAGTTATGAATTCCATGGTGTGGCCCAGAAGAGATGTAACAGTCTTACAAATTACAGTAGAGTTCTAACTACGTCCTTCTTTAGCCCTAAAGTTAAAATAAATTCAAGATCTAGAAGACACTTTCTCATCAGAAGTCTGATAAAAGAGTAACTTTTGCATCAAAGTAGCACTTTTTTCTGTCCTGTTAGACATTCTTACTTTCAAGGTTGCACAAGCTGTGTAGCAAACCGTGGGCAGAATCTCTATGGGCTCCTTGAACATAACTCTGAAGGTACTGGCTGTTCCGTCACAGCTAAATCCAGTGTCGTTCTGTCCCAGCGTCTGGTTCTTCTCATAATCAATTATCTGGACACAAGCATGAACAGTGTAGTTTTATGTTCACAGGCATGAGAAAGGCTCTGATTGTATGCACATGAGAAGGTTACAAGCAAACACTTGCCTACCCCACCCAGCCTCACTGCAAGGACAGTGCAATCTCAGCTGGAAAGGAGCTGTGATTTCCTGATAGCGCTGGAGCTGACGCAGCAGCTGGAATGATGGCTCGTGAATTTTACACGGGCTCTGGGCACTGCTCCAGCCAGGTTAAAGTCTGTGCTTGGAGAGGGAGAACAGCTCTCACACCTTCCGCTTCTGACCTTCATATACAACAGCTAATCCTGTGCTTAGATTTGCTGATCTCTGCACACCTTCACAGCCCACATAAGGGAATCTCATTTGCTGCCTGTGGCTACTTTAGAAAACAAGTTTTTACAGATAACGTAGGCAGTCAATGACACCTTCATAATAGAAAACAAAACCTTGTGCTGTTATGTTTTATACAATTTCTAATCTTGATTCAGTATAAAAATTCTACTAACACAATATTTATTTTGCCTTCAATTTCAGTGGCAAGTAAGAATCACTAGCTCAAACATAGTTATAGCAGATTCCTTCCCATTTTGGATTGCAATCCAGATCCATGCTGCCCAATACCTCTTGCAAAAGCTGGATATCAGAGCTTTAGAGCAGAGCACTTCTTGTGATTACTGCACTAAGAATCCTATCAGTTTTAACAGTTTCTTTTTAACTTGCCATATAACTTTCAGTATTACCCATGCATGAGATTAAGCTTTATTCTAGGCAAAGCGTACTCTAGCTTTTTCCCCAGCCACAATCAATAGAAATTTGAACAATTATAATGCTGAAGACTTAAGCCCTTTTCAGGTAACAGATATATTTGCAGTATACATTATCATTATTTTATGGCAAGTTTTAAATGTTTAACTCTCTGAAGCTCTGCTAGTACTGATGCAGAGCTAAGAAGAAAGCCAGAGGCACCAGACTTAAATAACTGTCTGAAAAGATTGCCACAAAAAAGTTTCAGATTCATCACTTATTAGGGATACTTCCAGGGTAAAGAGAACCTATATAAGAACCACAAAGGTTTATTTAGCCTTTCAGTTTGAATTGGGAGGATCTTTTTCAAGTGACTCTTCCAATCATTCCCATTTAATATGCATTGGTTTGCATTGAAAAAAATCGAAATTCTTTTCAGATTAAATAAATCCAGCAAACATCCTGAGGGAATACACCGAATGCTTTCATCTGCTAACAAGAATTCAGCTGAGAGATTCAAAAAAGGGTTTATGTGAAGTAAAAATTCCCAGGTATGTTTAGTACAGCTGCTAGGTTCCTGAGATCAACTCCTTTGTTCTAAAGGTCCTGCCTAGTGCACTATGCTACTATTTACATGGATGTGTGGTTTGACAAACTGAAGATAATTCAAATAGAGGAATTTGCAAGTGAGCTTTTTAAAGTGAGGAATGTAGAAAACCCAAATTCCTTCAAAATGTCATTCCATGTACATTCTGTTTGGAACATCATTAAGAAGAAAGGCATGACATTTTTTCCTTAGGAGACAAACACAAAATCCCTATCCTTAAGTACAGAGTACTCAGATAATAATAATCATCAAATAGGAAGTAGAAGGCAATTTGTCATTTAAACAGAATGTCCATAAATCAATGTGACATGATAGTACCATAAACAAAACTAATCTCTACAAGAAAAAGAATTCAAATAGACTGAAATTCCACACTCAAAAAGGAAAGAAAATATATAGTGCTGGATCAGTACTACTAGAAGACAATCCTGACGACAATATGCTAAGGGATCTAACCAGCAAGAGCAGGAAATACAATTTTAGCGGTGTCTCAATTGCCTGCTGGGACCAGGCAAGGGTCACATCAGGACATGAATAGGGGGACATTTTTAGATACTATCACTGGCCACTTCATGAGCCTGCTAACCAATTGCTCAGCAGGAAGAAACGCAAGCCTTGATTTAGTACTGAGTGATGAGCAGGATCAGATTCAAAATTTCATAATGGAAACACTATGTAACAGTGTCCATAATATACTGAGAGTCAACACTCCCACATGAGCAACAAAAGCAAATCCCCTACAGCTGTGCTAAATTTCAAAAAGAGAAAAATGAGGAATCTTGTTCAAAAGAAACTAAAAGGAACAATTACAGAAATCAAATCTTTATAAGAAGCATGCAGGCTACTGAAGGACATAACATACCCAAGTACAATATCAGTACATATTTTCTATTAGGAAACACTTGAGAAAAGAGGAAAAAAGCTGGATGTTGGGAAACACCTGCACTGAAAATGATTGACAGACAGGAGAATACAGGAGAAAGGGAGCAGAGTTCCATAATGTTCTTCTTTTGCCCAGTCACCCACTTATACCCACTTGTGACAAAACACATCTTAGACTCCTGGCCTATCAATTGCTCCCTCCCAAATACAGACCAAACCTTTTGCATGTGCT